TGGGCACTCTAAGTACCCTTGGGAAAATCACTCTCCCCAGCTAGCAACGGATGCATTGCTGGCTCAGTCCCACTGACGGTGATTGGCCTGTAAGTCAGGCCTTAGCCAATCAATATAGTTCTTCATGGACACAAAGATTCATGCTGGAACAGAAAATGATCCAATCAGAGCCTGTGAGATACGATCAGGATACTTTTCTGGAATTGCAATTGGGAATAGGACGGGAGCTTCTTTTCTTAATGAATATTAATGAAAGCAGGGTAGGAGCTTATAGCTGCCAGCAGAGATCCTGCCACCAGGAGAAGAGATCGTACCTCCTTGAGAAACACAACAAAGGAAGAGCTGAGAAATGAAGACAAACTGAGACCTGATGACAGCGTATAGGCCTCTGAATCCAACTTTACCTGAAGCTGAATACTCCAAGATTGTCATTATGTAAATCAATACATTATGTTTTTGCTTGCATCATTTGAATTAGATTTTCTATGTCAAGCATCAAGCAGTGGGAGGAGTTCTAATGAATCCAAGGACTCTTCCTAAATGTTTTGATTTAGATATTCTAAATAGGAACAAATCAAAGAAGCTCAAGTTAGAAACAAAGGACAAATTCTTTACAAATTCAAATGGAAAGCTTTGAACCCCAGAGACTTAACCAAGGTGTGAATTTTCTTCAGAGATTTTTATGAGCATTCAAGATCAAGCTGGTATGGCCTCAGATGAGAGGACACATGGAAACTTGAGAAATAAAAGGGAAAGATAATGAAAGATGTTAGTGAAATCTCATTCACTGACAGTAACAGGTGTTGCATGCATGTTCTTAAGACATTACAAGAGTTAAAATTTAAATTCGTATGTTAATTTGTAGAGAACTTGATGGCAAATTTAAGCCTTCATAGCAAATTTAAATGTTAGGAAAACATGAGGATATGTGTGAAGGTTAAAAGAATATGAGAGAAAAAAAACTGATTACAAACAAATATCTGCGATACAGTGAGGTCTCATTATGTGCAAACTATGAAATACAAAGAAGCATAAACTGCTGAATTTCATAGCTGGAAATGTTCTCTAATGCTCCCCTCAGTATATGATTTAGGTGGGGACATAAGGGATTATTTAACCTTATCACCAAAGACCCTGGTATTGGAGGACTGGCTCTGTAATTTCAGATTTTGAAAGTCCATGCTCCCTATCCCTTCCGAGGAGAGCTGGATAAACAGCAGCAAAACTGAAAATCAGTTCATTATTTACTCTCCTACTTCCTGAATGGCCTGTGTCATGATCAGAGAAATTGAATGGGAATCAGCTACATAAAATGACCTGGCAGGGAGTTCGGGCATCTCTGCACTATCATTCTTTAAACTGGGATTTGAAACTAACAGGGCCAAATCACCCTGTCGCCTAGTTGCAGTAGCCTCTGCAGCCAATAAAGGACAGAATTTCTACAAACAGACAATGTATGTGACTTGCACAGGGTCTTTGGCAGTTTGGCGGCCTAGTAGAGAGCCCTGGGGGCATGGCTCTGGGGGCAAACTTTTCCAGCGGGCATCAGTGAGTCAGTAATGACATGCTGTGTTGGGAAAAGCCACCCAACATCTTCAATACATTTGTCCTGTGCCAAATAAATGCATGTATTGAGCCATACTATGTACAAAGCACTTTGGGGATTAAAAGTTGAGAACACTAGGCCAGATCTCTCAAGAGTTTACATTCTCTTACGAGAAATTAAGAACATAAGCAAGCCACAAGTGAAATACCAAAAAAAAAAAAAAAAAGAGGCGAAAATCAAGTTTTCTGTTCATTACAATTCAAAAGAGAGATTTCTTCCAACTGAGGCGAGAAGAGACACCAGGAAGACTTTAAGAGGCCGCATTCGAACCAGGCCTTAGGGTTCCAGGATGGGAGAAGGGGAGAGCGGAAGGAGAAAGAAACAAGAGATAGTATGTGCCAAGTGTGTAGTGCCAAAAACAAGGCCAAATATTAAATGCCTGGAGCTGAGAGAAAAAATGTGATTCCTCTGGCCTATAGTTAGATAAAGCTTTCTGTCAGAGATGAGGTTTTATTTAGAGGAAAGTAGAAAATAGAAGCAGATACGGAATGATCGATGATGGACAGCACAAGGTCAGGGAGCAGATAGGTCTGACAGAGAGTGAAGGGTAATGTGGGCTGGAGAGGAAATGGGAAGCCACGCAGTGAAGCTAAAAAGTCAGCCAAAAGCATTAGATCCCCATGAGAAGTCATGATTCTCTGAGTAAGACAATTCTCCTGAAGTGTTGACTCTCTAGGCACAAGCAGCAACTGCATCCTTTAAGAACTCACTGAAATGTGAATTTTAGGACCTGATCCCAGACTACAGAATCAGAAATCGAACAAACTGTTTTAGTAAGCCCTCTAGATGATTCAGCTATACACCAGCATTTGAGAACACTGTGACTTACATGATTATGACCCTTAGGGAATAGCCAAGTTTCTAAAAAAGAGAACTTAATTCTAACTCCTGCTGCTGTTTTACAGAACAAATCTCTGGAGACCGAAACTAATCTCTTAAAATTATGTAGATAATGAGTTTGGTTAAGGATAAATGTACATAGTTCACATTCCCTCAGTCTCTCCCTATAGTCCAAAGTTTTTGAGCAAGAAATCTGTAGAGTATTGATTTAAATTGATTCAAAGTGTTTATGAAACTCTTAAGAGACTAGTTTTAGAAATTTTACTGTAATTTCTGCTGGGATAAATTTGTTAGGCAGGAATATCTTCCAAAAATAAAGTGGATGCTTGAATATGTGTAAAATCATGCAATTATTAGCAGAGACTTTGCTATAAGGAGCACTTACATCCTATAGTAATTTTATTAAAGGAATACATGCATCTCTCCTTTTTGTATGTAGAGAAATATTCTGTTTAGCCTGAGAAAGCTGACTGAAACAGGAAAAATAAAAAAGTAAAAGCACTCGACCCACGTAATACTCAATTTTTATAACAAAGTATCCTCTTGAATATGCCTATTAGATTAACCTGAAGTTCTCCATTTACTTTTTTAAAAAAATCCAATGAAGAAAATTTCAGTAGTTTGTTTTGCTTGAGGAATCAGGATTCTTGTACTGAGTTGTCTAATGATATGAATCAAATTGATTTACACTGAATGAGCTAACTCTTGATTTGGTAAAATTCAACAAGCACTTATTGAATTAGGTGCTTTCAGAAACAGCAAGACGCAGCAAACATTGGCAACTGAGAAGAAACTGCGCTTATAATAGGACTTGCTTTTTTTAATAGTAAATGATCGTGTGTTGTGTTGTGTGGCACGCTGTGTGGCAGTCCACTTTTTCCTCCCTACTTATGCTTCATTCAAACAGCTAGGCCATCCCATGCTCACTGCCTAGAGGAATGAGACGAGGCATAGCATAGAAACACGTGAGTCCACCCTCCTTTGTTCTTCAAAAACTGAAGGATAGTAAAGAAAATGAGAGGAATCCAGAACCAAAGCTGTTTGAGAGAAACATTAAATATGAGTAACAGACTTCAGAAAAATACAGCTTTTCCTCAATATTTCCACAAGCCAGGAAGCAGCAGCAGACATGATGTCATTAGAATGGTCAGACTGGTGGTAGCCAGAGGTGGGAAAATGTGAAACACTGTAAGTGATCACCAGCTTAACAAGAGCCACCAGTACTTGAAGATCACCCATCTTTATTTAAGTGGGCACTACCCATCTCTAATATCAAGGGGTTACCCTGGTTGCCATTCCCATTGGCATCTGGCAAGGACTTCCTGTGAACTGCCACCATCCATTCTTCTAGTCACTTCACAGAAAGACTTTGCACCAAGACTTTTCTTAGTCCTTGTCCAATTCATTTCCATACGAATCCCCCTAGCTACTGCATTCAACATTCTGAAACGAAGTCCTAAGACTAAAGGAAGACTGAAACCCTGGACACATACAGGGTCAAGAAAAGTAGCAAAGTGAGAACCTGTCTCCCTTCTCCTCTCTCTCACCGTGTGTGTGTGTGTGTGTGTGTGTGTGTGTATGAGGTGATGGTAGCAAGTGAATCGATTTAACATCCTCTTCAAAACAGTAAGAGTTCTTAATAGAAACCTATTACAAATAAGCAAGGTTTCGGCTTCGCTGTGGAGGGAAAATGAGAGTTCATGTATTGAAACTCATCCTTTTTTCTAGGACCTCCAAGCTCTGGTAATGGTCAAAATCCACTTGACCCTCCCCACCAAACATTCTGAAATTCCTGCCATTTGTCTGAGGATGGAGAAGGGATTCCTTATTTAAAATGAAAGTGGTAATTACAATGATGACTTTGGCTTGGAGTTATCATTGCTTTTCCCATTCTCAACAGAGTTTCTATCAGGTATCATGTGAAATAGTTAACTTCAAGGCCAATCTTAGGAGTATACACTCATTAATAATACATGAGAACCAAAGACTTATGGTAGACCAACAGACTGTCCTATCTCATCTCTTCAAATACAAGCCCATCTCAGACATCCAACTTAAGCATTATAGTATTTTCTTTATGAAAGGTTAGAGTACCTCCATTTTTCCACCTCACTATCTCCTAAGCATAAGACCTCAGAAGGAGACAAGTGAGCATGAACTATCTGCTCCGGTCTTACATAAGCAAGAAAAATCTATTATTGCTTGTTCATTGTTCTTTACTTATGAATGAATCATATCTAAAATACTTAGTGATGGCTGCTGATGGTCAAGGGACTGAAGTATATGGAAATTGGTATATGAATGACAAAAATTGAGTTTATTTTGTTTCCCACCCTGACTAGCTCTCTCTGCCAGATTGTCTACCTAATGACAATATTTACAGGTTACCTGAACTTCTCACTGAAAATAGAATGGTTAAGAGTGGGAACTAGTTTAGGGTTGTTTTAATTATGCTCTAAGATAAAATATAATATTTAGACATCCTGAAATGTAATACCACATTGTTCTTTTTTCAACAATATATTCTTCTTAGTGACCGACACTTCAGACAGGCTTTCTTAATGATTTCTGTTTATTTCCATAAGGCAAAACTACAGGTAAATGTTTTGCCAGATGACTTCTCTTTACTTATGTTCTAACATACCATATGTTTGGCACCAGAAGATCTTAGAAACCACTGTGAAAAACCCTAGTATTTGAATTAGTTTTCTGACAGAAATGAAAATCTCTGTTGCATTCCTACTTGTCACTGGCTTTCTTAAATGCAGAAATATTCATTTCCACAGTCTTTATGGCTTTTTGGAGGATCTCTAAGATTGGTCCCATAGCCTTGTTCCAACACATCTGCTGTTGACTCTACGGGAATTTTGGAATCCTCAGTTTTTAGTGCATCCTGCAGTTTTTTCAAGGTGTCTATCCCAGTAGTTTTGGAAGGACCTGGACTCCTGCTTCTCTCAGATGTGCTGACATCTGATTGCTCTTTGGTGTCTTCTGTATAGAAGTCACTTAATTGAAGATTCATGAGGGAAATTTCATCAAGCACGAAAGAGAAGATTCCAAACTCCCAAGGACGTTACTGCTATTTAGCACAGAGATGATGACTGGTGTGCGGGCACTTTTGAACGCCTCTTTAGCTGACTGATGCAACTCCTTTACATTGGTACTCTTCTCAGCCATAGAGCACATGGCCATGGCAACTCTGCAACATAAAGACTCTTTTTGAATTTTGTCTTGTTTTGCATCCATTACAGATTGCATCTCCTTAAAGATTTTGAGCATTTAGATGGCATGGTTGCTCTATTGGACTACCGTGAAGATGGTGTGACCCCATATATGATTTTCTTTAAGGATGGTTTGGAAATGGAAAAATGTTAACAAATTTGGCAATTACTTTGGATCTATCACCTGTCATCATAACTGGCTTCTGCTTGTCATCCACACACCAGGACTTAAGACAAATGGGACTGATGTCATCTTGAGACCTTCATTTATTTTGACTGTGATTTATTTGGAGTGGAGGCATTGTTTTTAAGAAAAACATGTTATGTAAGTTCTCTAAAAGTAAAATGCAATTAAATTCAAAAACATATAAATAAATATAAATAAAAATAAAATAAATAAATACATTTTGAACATTTGCTCAGAACAGTCCTCAAGGCTACTCCTGTTTTTCACAGCCATCCAAAGGATTAGAGCAATCATATTGTGGCTAAACAATTCGGTCAGTGTGTTTGTGACAGAACAGGATCTTGTACATGAAAGAAGAACCTTTTGGCAGCTTGAATCAGTCTCTCCTTATCCTTTCCTGACTCTGAAGACGATTCTCCAACAAAGAAGTTTCAGCACTGCAAAGCAAAGCAATAATCCAAATGAAAACTAAAAGTCAATTTGGCAACCGTAGAGAAACTGAAAGTATAGTCTAAATATGAGGATAACTCCTGCCAAGGGCAGGAAAGCTATACAAACATTAAAACAAAAATGATATTGTGCTTCAATAAAAATAATAGCGAAAATAATTAAAACAGAGTAGAATAGTGTTATATCACTGAATTTATACCACATAATAAATACTGTGTGCTGGATCCCGAAAATATCAATAGATTAATATACTGAATTACCCTACACTGAAGGATATTACCCTTGATAACTATTCAATGCAGTAAAAAATACTAGATAAATAAAGCATTACAAATTACACAGAGGGGCTCTGGTTCCCGTTAAGGTAGACTAAGAACACTCCCGCCGATCTTTCCTACTGATTACAACTAAAAATCCTGGACTGAATATATAAAATCACTATCAGATAATTCTGAAAGGTGGATGACAGAAGGCCAAGGAAGTAGGGAGTAATGGCCTTCAAAGGACAATAAAGCAATGAAGCCCTCTGACTTTTTCTTTGAGGATGGGTTTTTCTGTGCTTTTTGCTGTTGATTTCTTTTCCTGCTTCTGATATATACCACCTGGGGCAGTTTGAAATTAGAACTGTGAACAAGCCCAAACAGGGAAAGTTCCAAAAGAAACCTACACTAACTAGCAAATCAGGAGCAGGGGCCTCTACTGGGCAGATCCCTTTTGATCTAGTTGCCAGCAAGAAAATGGTAGCGTCCCCACCACCCCACCCTCTGTCTGCCCCCAACTACTCATGAGCAGAGGCAGCCCTAAACACTTAATTTTAGGCAGCCCTAAACACTAGCACCACCGCCCATCGCATACTCCCCACCCCATCCCAACCCCCACACACACATATCACAAGCACAGCAGAGGTCAGTCAGCCCTTTGCCCCCACCCCTGCCAACTGTCAGTGAAAAGGCTGTCCTTACGGAGTGAACCCCTTTTCACTCTTCCCACTCTACCCTGGGCAGAACCAACTTTCTCTCATTGCTTTGCCCCGAGGTGAGAAACAGTTGCCATGGGAAGAGCTGAAACTGTTTTCTAGCCAGAACACCAGGAAAGGGGACCCCTGGGAATCAAATAGTGCATGGCAGACTGCAGAAAGAAGTAAAAATTATAACCAAAAAATAGTACTGTTGGGATTTTCAATGCACGTAGACTGCATATGACAATTACACCCAATAAGGAGACTCATGTAGCTGAAAGATTTCTTGATTTTACTTAAAATGGTAAAATATTAATTTTAAGTAGATTGTGTGAAGTGTGAAAGTATACTGTAATCTCTAGAGTAACCATTAAAAAAGCAGGAAATAATGTGTCCATGGAAGTAGAGATGGGAGTGATGTGGCCCCATATTAAGGGATGATGACGGCCAGAGCTGGAAGAGGCAAGGAATGGATTCTCCCTCAGAGCCCACAGAGGGAGTGAGATCCTGTTTGACTTCAGCCTTCCAGCCTTGAGAGGGTACATTTCTGTTGTTTAAAATCACTAAGTTTGTGGTAATTTGTGACAGCAGCCCTAGGATACTAACACAGATTTTGGTCAATAGGCAAATTAAATTGAAATTTCAAAATTATTTAAGTAACTATTTATATTACTCAAAAGATGGCTTGAAATGGAAAACAGAGAAATTTTTTAAAAATGGAACAGAAAACTAATAAAAGAAGTTATACTTAATCTAAGCATATCAATAAATGCATTAAATATGGGTTTCTAGAACTAATAAGTTTCATAAGGTTGAAAAATACAAGATCAAATCAATTGTATTTCTGTATACTAGCAACAAAATAAAAATCAGAAATTAAAATTAAAACAATGACCTTTACAATATAATTAAAAATATGAAATATTTATAGATAAATCTGAGATGAAATATCCCTACACTTACAACTGTAAAATATTGCTGAGAAAAATTAAGGAAGACCTAATTAAATAAAAAGATGTATATTGTAAATGGGCCAAAACACTCAATATTGCTAAGATGTCAGTACTCCTCAAATTAATTTATAAATACAACAAAATTCCAATAAAAAACCCAGCAGTTTTTTTGATATATGTAAAAGACAACAAATGTTCTCTTAATAGAACTAAAATAAAAGTCAAAAAAGAAAATACATGAAAAATATTGTGAATTAAACAACACTATTAAATAATCTGTGGGTCAAAAGAAGTCACAAAAATATAGAAAATATTTTGAACTGAATGAAAATGAAAATATATCAAAATCTGTGGGATGAAACTAAAGCAGTGTTTAGAGAGAAATCTGTATATTAAATATTTATATTAGAAAGGAAGGTATAAAATGAATAATTTTAACTTCTAGCTTAAGAAGTTAGAAAAGCGCAAACATTCAAAGTAAGCAAAAGGAAAAAAATAATAAAAAACGAAACACCGCATATTCTCACTCATAGGTGGGTGATGAAAAATGAAAACGCATGGACACAGAGAGAAGAGTACTAAACACTGGGGTCTATTGGGGGGAAATGGGGAGGGCTAGTGGGAGGGGGAGGTGGGGAGGGATAGCCTGGGGAGAAATGCCAAATGTGGGTGAAGGGGAGAAAGGAAGCAAAACACACTGCCATGTGTGTACCTATGCAACTGTCTTGCATGTTCTGCACATGTACCCCCAAACCTAAAATGCAATAAAAAAATTAAAAAAAAAATAGAAATAAGTGAAATTGAAACTGAAAAACATAGATAAAATCCACTAAAAGGTGTTTCTTTGAAAAGAAAAACCAATAAAATTGTTAAACTTTAAGTCAGATTGACCAAAAAGAAAAAACGGGAGAGAGAACACAAACTACCAACATAAAGAATGAGATGTCGGGCCGGGCACGGTGGCTCACGCCTATAATCCCAGCACTTTGGGAAGCCGAGGTGGGTGGATCATAAGGTCAAGAGATTGAGACCATCCTGGTCAACAAGGTGAAACCCCATCTCTACTAAAAATACAAAAATTAGCTGGGCATGGTGACACGCGCCTGTAGTCCCAGCTACTCGGGAGGCCAAGGCAGGAGAATTGCTTGAACCCAGAAGACAGAGGTTGCGGTGAGCCGAGATCGCGCCATTGCACTCCAGCCTGGGTAACAAGAGCGAAACTCCGTCTCCAAAAAAAAAAAAAAAAGAGAATGAGATGTCACTACTGACCCTACAGACATAAAAAGGATAATGAGAGAATATTATGAGCAACTCTGTGTGCATAAATTCAACAATCTAAATGAAATAGAGCCAATCCTTAAAGATAGAAACTATGAAAACTCACCCAAGTAGAAACAGAACACTTACATAAACCTTACGCCTGAATCCCAGCACTCTGGGAGTTCAAGGTGGGTGGATCACGAGGTCAAGAGATCGAGACCATCCTGGTCAACATGGTGAAACCCCGTCTCTACTAAAAATACAAAAAAATTAGCTGGGCATGGTGGCGAGTGCCTGTAATCCCAGCTACTAAGGAGGCTGAGGCAGGAGAATTGCCTGAACCCAGGAGGCAGAGGTGCCATTGCACTCCAGCCTGGGTGACAAGAGCAAGACTCCGTCTCAAAAAAAAAAAGGAAACCTATATTTCTTAAAGAAATTGAATGTGTAGTTAAACACCTTCTAGAATAGAAAACTCAAGGCATAAATGGTTTCCCTGGTGAATTCAAACATGTAAAAAAGAACAACAATTCTACACAATATCTTCCAGAATACGCAAGGGAGAATACTTCTCAACTCATTTTATAAGGCTACCATTCTAGAAAAATAAGAAAACTCTAGACCAATATTCCTTAAGAACAGAGACATAAAAATCTTCAACAAAATATTATCAAATCCAATCCAAAAATGTAAAAAAAGAATAATACACTGCAATCAATTTAAGGTGCATCCCAAAAATGTAAGTGTAGTTCAACATTAAAAATCAAACTAAACAAGAAAAAGCACGTGATCACATCAGTAGATGCAGAAAAAGCATTTTTAAATATTCACTTTTCATTAATAATCAAAACTCTTAGCAAACTAGGAATATAAGAAAACTTCCCTAATCATAGAGGGCTCTTACAAAGAACTACAGCTAACATAATAAAAGACTAATTGCTACCCCTTAGGATCAGGTATGTCCATTTCACTAGTTCTATTTAATATCATACTGGATATCATAGAAAGTGATGTAGAACAAGAAAAAGAAAATATTCAAATTGAGAAGAAAGAAATAAAACCAACTCTGTTTGCAGACAACATGAAATCTACATACAAAATCCCAAGAAATCTACAATAAAGTTCTAAGAATTACAAGTAATTTTAGCAGATATACGGTCAGCATTCAAACACCCATATTCACTAGGAATGAACAATAGGGAACCAATATTTTTATAAGTATCATTTATAATACTCTCAATGAAATTCTTAAACATAAATCTAAGATATGTACATAATCTGCCCACTAAGATTCAAAAAAAATAAAATTCTGAAGTAAAAAAATCAAAGAAAATGTAAATAAATGGAGAGACAAACTCTGTCCATGGACTAAAAGACTATATAGCAAAGATGTCAATTCAAACTCTGCCCATGGATTAGAAGATATATAGTTAAGATGCCAATTTTCCCCAAATTGCCCCACAAAATTAATGCAATCACAATAAAAATGCCACCAAGATCCTTTGTAGACACAGAACAGAATTCTAGAATATATATGCAAGTGTAAAGCAACAAGAATAGACAAATGTTTTTCTAAAGGAACAGTTACAGGACTCACAGAATCTAATATTAAGATATACCATAAAACTACAGTAATTGAGATGGTGTTGTATTGGCGATACGTAGACCAACCTAACAGAACAGAAAGTCTAGAAAAAAACCCACAAATGTGGTCAGTTGATTTTTAACAAAGATGCAAAGGCAATTTAATACAGTAACTTTAGGGGTTTTCACCCTAGAAGAAAACCTAGGCAATACCATTCGGGACATAGTC